TATTCATACATTAATATGCATAAAGGTTATAAGATTTATAACCTGCATAGTGTCTATTTTTGCTAACCTCCTTAGCTGTGCAAGACCTTTTAGCTTCTTTAAGCTCATAGTTTTGGTTTTCTGACCCAGAGTTGCACTGTACAATGTTGACCCATGTCTAAAAATAATCCCTATCAGCTTTAAATGGTAATAATCCATGTTCTGTTTAGTGTTTGTTCTGATCCCTGCAAGTGAGAAAAAGTCAATTCATGCAGCTTTAACGCTGTGATTGATGAGGTCAGATTTAATATGTAACACATAAATAAACCATCTTAAGATCAAGGAATTTACCTCTTCAAATTTCTTGGCTTTGTACTGCTCGGCTCCTTTCAGGAAGTTCAGCAGTATGATGTCACACAGCACCGTTCCCTACAAAAAAAGTGCAATAATGTCTTAGACAGCGCTCACCAAAACAAGGGCAACACACACAACACAGTTCACAGGGGAATTTTCCTATTGTATATAACGTAGATACAATCTAAAACAGAGAGATAAGGACATAAGAGCAGGGGAGAGAAACCTCAGAGGTCCAGGCTGCATTCGACCTGTGAGACAATTTGAAGAATTAACTTGAGGGCTAGATGAAAAAAAAAGGAACTACCCAGAAAAACAGAACAATTTACATAACAGCAATACTTTTTTCTGCACTTTCAGAAAATAACATAAAATAGCAGGCTTACATGTCCGTCTGAGTGCTGAACTAATTGACCTAATAGCTAAGAAGCTGAAAGAAGAATTCAGAAGCAGTTGTTGCTGCTGCTGAGCTGCTGGAACAAGAAAAAGTAAAACTTTGCACTGTGTAAAACATTGCATTTCCCACTGTGCAAGAATTAATATCCTGTATATAACATCTAAATATACTGCTCAGTTTGAAAAACTATATCAGGCGATGATTAGAAGTTTCAGGATATGAAAAGGTGAACTTGCAGAACTGAACATATAAAATGTGGAAACAGTTGATTTGCCTCACAATATCATTGACCTGCAAAGTAATGACAAGCTCAGAGGTCAGGACAGCTACCTCACTCTGTTTGCAGTTCTTTTTGGAACAAACCTCTGCTGTGAATGGCTATTTTCAACCTGACCATTGTGAAGACACAAGACACAAGAAACAGGTCCAGCCATGGCATTAGAGAGTTTAGAAGCCAGACATATTGTAGGCAATAGGCAAAAATCAAATGGCACTTGATCGGAAAAAAAGGTTCGTCACCGTCACATAAAATTCATTTCTGCTTCCATCAAACAGTTGTGAAAAAGGACATTAAACTGCTGAATGAAACATTACAGGTACATCATAAACTTCTACTTATAGAAGTAAAACCTCACCACGCCCACTGATGTGAAGGCTGCCACCATGTTGATGAGTGTGGGGATCATGTTGAACTTCCCTGCCTACAAAGGAAGAACAGCAGTAGTATCATTAACATTTAACAAATTATGAAATGATCTCCCCTGGGTATTAAATTATACGTCTTCTATCTTCTATATCTCTAAAGCCTTAATTCTGAGTAATGAAGTGTAAGTTTGTTTTCTGTCAGCAAAGCTTGTCCAATAATTGAACTGAAGGAAACCAGAGCAATGAAAGGAATCTCATATGAAAACAGGGAGAACATGTAGATTCTACACAAAACACCCCCGATGTGAAAAAGTTAATTTAGTCTGATTATTAAATAGCATTAATCTATATCTATTTGACCTGAAATTGTCCCAGAGCAGCAGCCATACTGCTACCAGATTGCATATAGAGTAAATGATTCTGCTTGAGACCACTAGTAATGCAGCAAGACATTAATTGGGATCAACCAAATGCCATCAAGAGATACTCACATTTCCATTGACCAGGACATCAAACCTAATAGCATAGGCTTTCACGAGAGTGCGGTAGTCTGTCCCGTTCTCCATCTTGTAATACTTGGCAAACCTGCAGACACAGACACATCCCAACAATTTAAATTAATCTGAATGAATTTAAAATTTACATATCAGTGTGCTGTTGTGTACATATTTGATATGAGAGAGAAAAGGATATTAAGTGATAATTTATATATCACATTTGACAGCATCAAGAGAGCAAATAAACAAAAATAATAAATGAATCTACCATATTCTTTTGTAAAAGCTGAAGTTTATTTCTAAAGGAAAGGTCATGGGTTTACCAAGAAATCATCACCTCAGGATCTTACCACCGATGAATTTAGTGGCAATCTTCAGCCATTGTCAAGTTCTCTGATTTAAACTAGTCAGTCCGACAATGTGGATAAGTGCTGTACCTGAAATTGTAGCCTGGTGAGACAGCATTCTTCTGTGACATGGCATCCAGTCGAGTGAAGGAGTATGAGGGGTTACACTGGTCGTCTGATTTGTCCAGATCACATATCCATCCGATCTTTATTCCAATCACGCCTCCCTGATAAAAGTTTCAAAAACGAGAGTTCATGCATGAGTGTGTTTATTTTCAACCATGTTAATATGTCGAGGAGGATTTTATGATCAACAGTATTGCATGATTTTGGCAGGTCAAGGAAGGGGGCAGCACAGGCTTGTCTGTTATCTAGAGAGGTGACAATGTTATTAATGACTAAAACTGCAGCTGCTATCGTGCTGTGATGAAAACCAGACTGCTGTGGCTGAAGCATATTCAGTGAGTCAATGAAGGGGCATATTTTTAGATTGACCAAAGATTCAAGGATTTTTGGAAAACAGAGAAGTTTGGGAAATGAACTGCAGTTGTTGAGGTCAGAGACATCAACACTTTTTTGCACTTTTTCATGAATTGGGAATATGCCTCTTAATAAGATTTGGTTGAAAATGTGAGATAGATGACTAGTCACAGGGCAGCTACTCTTCTGCATTTGATCAAGAAATCCCACGACAACCATAGTCATTTCATTTTAAACAAGGCATATTTTCTTTAAAGCTAGTTAATAGAAGAGTTTACTGGTGAGTGCATAGAGCCTTCTTGTGGAGGAAATGACAGAAAGGACTAAACTGAACCATTAAAGGATATAGACCTATAGTTAATGATTCTCTCAAACCTGATATTTCGTTCACTTTTAAAAAAATCAAACCTGTTACCCAAGCTGTTACCCAGTCACCCTACATCATTCCTAGCTTTTAAGTTCCTATTGTGCTTTTTCTATTTAGCCTTTTTTTGAGTTTTGGGATATTTTTTGGGATACCAGTGCATTTCTGTTTCTATACTTTTGGATTTTGTTCTTTCTGTAAGTACACTTTTGTTTCACTACACCTTTTGTTCTGCATTTTTGGGTCCACCTGCTTCCACTAAACTTGACAAGAGACTTTCGATTTTACATTTACTGCCCAAATAACCCTGGCTTTCATTATTTCCCTTCACAAGAACTGATGTATAAGAATTGGTCCATGCACCTTGACTGTTGACTTGACAGCTGAGTGGGCTTAATAGACCTCTGTCAGAGCTGAGTTAATGAAATACCCATGCTCTGAAATCAGTGGATTGTTTTGATCAATGAAACATGGTCCGAGGTCAAATACATGTTATCCCCACAGAGAATTCACACTTACTCTTATCACAAGAAAACTATATCAATGGGATTTATGGACTTAAATGAGTTGGGAAGATAATGTTTTCTACCAGTACCTAAACATATGGCACACCTTTCCAAAATAAAAAAAGATTCTGTTGGGCCCTCAAGAAAATACCAATTACACAAGGCAACACTAGGAAAAGAGAGCTAACGTAGTAATATAAAAAAATAAAAAAACATGGGAAAGCCTGCGTACTTCCACTACCTGTTTTGGACAAATTTCAGCACAAGCCCAGCGCAAAATTAAAAAATAAAAGTAAGAAGACAAAGAGAGGTAGCTCTACAAGTACTACATTCTACAACAACACAGCTTACATATTTTTAAGGATTTTCTTAATTTTGGTTACATAAACCACATAACTGACACAGCCTAAAGGGATAATGTTCAAATTCTATATATAATGTTCAGCACTGAACAACCAGAATACAATTATATTGACTTGACAATGTACTTTCGACTCTACCTTTTCTGCCAGTTTGGTGAAGTTCTGCTGCGCGTGGCGGACCACATCTCCCACTTTGAAGATGGGGCAGTAGGTGTTGTTGACCATGTCAAAGTTACATTTTTTGATGTATTCGCCTGTTATAGTAGGAAGGAAGTTCCCTCTGCACAGACAAAGATATATTATCATGTCAACATGTCTGACCAAAGTGTCATCATAACTGAAATCATATTTGTCATACTTTGTATAGTTGAAAGTTGGGAAGCGGATGCTATTCTTAATGAAAATGGTGAAATTCTCTACTTCCATCATTGATGTTCTGCAAAAAGAAAGGAAGACAGACACACAGACATAAGTCAGAGTACCTGAAGAAGAAATCGTAGATATTTCAAAATATGCTCAAATAAAACAAAAACTATATGCATGTACAGATATTATTGGAGGTCAGTAACCCTTTTAATTAATGATTATAGGTATATCTGTAACCTTGAACTCTTAAAGGTTCAGTGTGTAGGATTTAGGTGAAAGGAATCTATCGGCAGAAAGGGAACATAAAATAATCCTAGTGATGTTTTCTCTGGTGTGTTTCATCTTAATTGTATGAATTGCAGTTTTCTTTACCATAGAATGAGCCTTTTATATTTAAATACTTTATATTAACATGGAGGAGGGTCCTCTCTGTGGAGGCTGCCATGTTTTTTACTGTTGTCCAAACTGCACAAACTAAAACCTTTTGAGTTTTCATGACAGCTGAAGTTCACCACAGATTATCTGTCATGTTTGGAAGGGGAGGGTGAGATGAGGAGTATTCAGCTGCAACATGACACTTCGCCTCTAGGTGTAACTAAATTCTACACACTGAACCTTTAATGGTCAGTGTAGTCAGTATTGTTCATTAGAGGTTAACTGTGTTAGCAAAGCTCCCTGTCTCATGCTTAGTTTTGTCTTACGTCTTGACGGTGTCGATCTCAGCAGGACACCATCCTTTTATCTGACACATTTTTATAGTGGCATTGAAAAAAACACATTTGCCTGTAAGAATTCCTGTGGAGGAAAAGGAAAATATTTTAAAAAAATAAACACTGCCAATGCATTTGTTCATTCAACAGATAAAAGTGTTGTAATATTGTGTCGCAGAAATGGAAATGAAAAAAAAAACAGAATCAAGGTCTCACCATAACTGCCTGGTTTATTGAGATGTCGCGAGCAGTCGCTGTCCTGGGTACAATTATACTTCTTCTCACTCTGGACACACACACACACACAAAGCTGCTTTAATGATTATTTGTATATCAGTGACAGAACAAGTAACTGTTTATGATGTGAAAGAAAACAGTACTCTAATGATTAACATTGCATCACGCATATTCTGTGGTTATCCTGTAAGTCAAATATAGGAATTCCCTCCACATTTACATTTATACATCTCACTCAGAGAACAATACACATTTAGCTGTCAGAAGGAACAATACTATTTACCTTTTTGTTCGTAAAAGGTTATTTTGGAAATAAAATCACATCAGATTTAACAAGTGATGCAAAAGTCATTAAACGTATCTTCCCTGAAACAATGATAGCTCTATAGGTCATGTACATCTACATACCGTGTAATAATGGAATATATACCTCCTGTATAAGTAATTTGTGGGATCATCTGTAATTGTCTTTATTCCTCCACTTCACATCTACCTGTATTTAAGTATTGGTACTGTACAGGCACAGTGTTAATTTAACTCCAGCACTATAAGTTGTGTTCTGTTATCCAAAGCTTTTGTAAAGTCTATATTAATTATTGAGAATCTTGTATTTAGTCTGCAGATTGTTTTTTTTTTGTTTGATTGTTTTCTGGATATTTCCTCTTTCATTTCATTTATATACAGTTTAAAAACACTGACAAATAACACAGAGTAATAAGAAGACCTCTGGTTGCCATGTAAAGTTGATCATGATTTTAACTCCTCCACATGATCTGGGCCTATATTTGTATCATTTTATTTATTCATACGCCCTTAAAATCCCAATCTACTGCTCATATACACATACAACTCAAACACATTCAGTTTACAAATCCTTAAAATTGACAAATTTGAACCAGCAAATGTAAA